ACCTTTCACAGACGGAGTTCACAAAATGCCTCACAAAAATACAATACAAATAAAAATACATTTACCATCACAGAAGACATGGTTATAAAAAAAATCATAATCTAGAATTAAAATGCTTTCTTAAAGAAGTAGATTTTCAGTTCAGCCTTAAAAAACATCAACAGAATCAAGTTAGTGCAAGGAAAGCGAAAGATCGTTTCAGAGCGCCGGGGCATCTGCCTGAAAGGAGCGATCTCACCTGGTCCTGGACCAACAATATGGCGCAGCACTGGTAATAGGGATTTAGACAGATAAGAGTGAAACCATACAGCACACCGACTAAGCCCTGGCTTCCTTACATTGCTCTCCATTGTTTACTTTCCTGATTTCTGTCACACTGGTGACATCATCGATACTAAAGCGTGGATTATACTTCTGCAACCGCACATATCAAATGTCGCTTGTGTCTGGTTGTAGGGTTGTCAAAAGTATCGATACTCAAAAAAGTATCAATACTTTAAAGTTGTATCCGGATACAATACTCATTTTCAAAAGTATCGATACAGTGCTACCACCAGTGGCACCTAAACAGTCATTCATTTTCTGCGCAGATTAGAGGAAATGCACTTTCTGAATACTGTGTGATTGAATAATTCTGTGCACTTTTTGGTTTCAGACTTTTTTCTGTAACAGGTGCAGCTACTGAGAATTATTTTATAACTGGTTTGGCTAGTGTCATTGTTATGTGTGTAAAGCATAGCCAAGGAAGGAACACTTAATTTTAATTTAATAAGTTTTTTTATCAAGCTTGCTTAATATTGTGCACAGCATACAACCTCAAAATATTGTTTATTGTATCTATTTATTGTATTTTGTTTATTCATGAAAAAATTTCTGTTGAATATTGGAGTCGTTGTTTTTATCCTTGTGGTATTGAAAATGACATCGAGTATCGAATATTTTCCTTAGTATCGGTATCGAGTTGAAAAGTTTAGTATCGTTACAACTCTATCTGGTTGCGAACCAGTTTCGCTAGTATGCTTCTGCAATGTCGGTGTGGAATGTCTAGGGATGCACAGCAGCTTTCACCCAAAGAGCAAGGGGGAGCCTATTCAAAAACTCACGAGAACTTCGATGGATTGTCACGAGAACTTCTTCGGCGGCGCCGGTGGAAGTGTTTATTTTCCAAAACAACATGTCTGAGGCATCGTACAAGTGGTTGTACTTCCTCGTACCTCCTCGATAAACCTTTTGTCCTGGTTATCCATTGTTGTTATTACTCCTTGGTAGGGTTGTCACGATACTAAACTTTTCAACTCGATACCGATACTAAGTAAAATATTCGATACTCAATGCCATTTTCGATACCACAAGAATAAAAACAAAGACTCTAAAATTCAACAGAAATATTTTCATTACTAAAAAAAATACAAGAAACAAATAAAAAAACAATATGCTGTGCGCAATATTAAGCAAGCTTGATAAAAAAACTTACAAAATTAAAATTAAGTGTTCCTTCCTTGGCTATGTTTTGCACACATAACAATGACACTGGCCAAACCAGTTAAACAAAAATCATTCTCAGCAGCTGCAACTGTTACAAAAAAAGTCTGAAACTGAAAAATGCACAGAATTATTCAATCACACAGTGATGAGAAAATGCATTTTCCACTATTCTGCACTTTAGATGGCTGTATCGATACTTTTGAAAATGAGTATTGTATCCGGATACAACGTACTCCTTGGTTTTTAAAAACGGCGCCTCCCGGCCCCAAATCGAGAAGGATGACCACACAGACAGCTGGAAAGGAATACCAAGGACCAATAAAAGCTGCTTTTTGTCTGCGCACTTACGCCTGAGGTCTGTGCGGGTTTGCGACCATCCGAAGTGTAGTCAGGAATTTTTTTGAGGTGCTCCACGACGGCTGCAGAGCCTCTGCGCAGGGGGAGTGGTCACGCACAGAGACAGATTTGACGGTTGCAAAGGCTATGTGTCAGCCTTTGCAACCTTAGGAGTGACTGACTGTGTGTGGTTGTTCTTCTTTGTATGCCTTCGTGTGGCCCTGCGATGGACTGGCTTTTTTACTAGGAGTAGGGCTGCAACAATGAATCGATAAAATCGATAAAAATCGACTTTTAAAAGCGTTGGCAACGAATTTCATCATCGATTAGCTGTGTCGCGCGATTATTGCGTCATCCGCCGCGCCGTCATCACTGCCTCTTGACTGAAAGAGGAAGAAAAAAAAATACGGCAGAGCGAG